CGCGCTGAGCGGGGGGAGTGACCGTTGGTGTCGGCGATTTTCCCGCCCGCGGTTGCCGTAGGGTCTCCTCGGTGCTCGGGTTACGTGCTAGGGACGTGTGTCGCATCAGACGGAGCTACTGGGGCCTGGGAGCCTCCTGCGCGCTGCCCAGCCCCGTTGCTGCCTCCTCGAGGGCTGGAGGGCGCGCTGGGGCCTGGAGCCCGCGTTTATCGGGGAAAACTGTACATGAAGTGAATGTTTAACACAGAGTAGCCCCAAGAAGGAAAACTGAGGCACCCAAGGCTGGCGAGTTGTCTAAAGCACCAAATAAGTAAGTACTGAAGTGTGAAGCTACCTTTTGTGCTTCTAGTCCATGTTTTTCTTAGTTGCTGCACAGATTTTATTTATTTATATATTTATTCTGTGTGTGACAAGTAGCATTACTGCTTGAAAATGCAAAGCATACTTAGGCTGAGGTATTAGGGAGCAAGGAGTTAACAGCACAGAAGAGAATTGGTAATGTGCAACTCCAAAGAGTTACAGTGACAGTGAACCCTTGAAAAACCTTGATTGTATTTAAGGTCAGTTGGATACAAATACTGTGCCTTACAACCTAAAGGCATTGAATCATGGGATTTTTATTTATTATTTTAAGAGTTGAAGAATGCTCATGCTTGAAATTATTTTGTTCAGTAGTGAGATATATTACATGCTCCTCACATAGGTGTGATGTAGCCTTTTCAGGGCCTCGTGCTCAGTCTGAGAAATAATAGTGATAATTTATGTTTGACGTGTGCTGCGGCTTTCTCTTTAATGCACAAATTGCCAAGGTATCCAATTAATCTGACTCTTGTTCCTTCCCAAGTCCTTCTCTTTTAGCGAAAAACCATATGTTGAATTTTGAACAGTTGGGGGGAGTATTGCCTTGCAAGATAAATGAGGATTCATGCCCTTGCTGCAGAGCCAGGCAGACCTGAGTTGCTGGGTTAGTAAAGCTTGGTTATGCTGAAGCTTTGGCTAGCTCCCCATCTAAGGGAGAACCTCTTTGTGCCAGTCTGGTGTTGTGCAGCAATCTGATCCCAGGTTTTTATTTTTAAAAGGTTTCTCTTTCGAAGCCCCTAATTGCAATTTCCAGGTCCGGGGAGTTATAAATGACAGTTTTCCAGCTGCCTGCTGGTTACTAAAAGGTGTTCACAAGTGCTAAACTTGCTTAAATGTTGCAAAGTCAATTTAAAGGTGAGGCATGCTGAGAGGCATAACTTACCATTTTCATTATGGTGCTTCTCTGAGCAAACTAGGGAGGCTTAGTTTTAATTAAAATTCCACTTTGTGAGTAATTACTCTTTCATGTAGCATCCCCTCAAAGGATCAGAGTAGGTTATTTTCACATACCAGGAGGATGTGTGAGTGGTTGTTTTCCTTTTTTTTTTTTTTTTTTTTAAAAAAAAAGATCAGTTGTTTATATAGATGAACAATAAAATTTTTATGGCTCCCAGCAACTCTTTTTTCTCTATTTGGGATGCAGCTAAATGGAAGGAGTGATTCTACACTACTTTGCAAGGATTACGTAGTAAGAATCCTTCAGGTTAAGAAAATAAAGTTTGTCTGAAACTAGCTTTTTTTTTTTTTGTTAATTTTGATGTTGCAGTTTCTAACCTTGGGAACTACAGTCATACTCTAGTGGACTGAGATGCTTCATAAATCCTTCGCGCATTTGGTACTTGAAAGACCTCACCTATGTTAGAGGTGGGAGAAAGCTTGCAATGAAGAATAACTGTAAGCTTTCTGTAATATTTTTCTTATTTTAAAAAATACCTTCTGTAGCACTTTGAGGGAGATCTAATAAACAAAAGTATAGTAAATTGATTATTTAACTGGTAGTACTGTCATTTATCCTCTTGAAGTAATGCTATTCACATACCAAAATCGTTCTTGACAAATGAAATGTTTGTAGAAGATGAGTAGATTACTTTTTAACTTAAGTCATACTATTTCTTATCTGGGCTTTTTACTCATCTCTGCATCCATGTGGCCGTTATGATTAGGTAAAAATGGCAGTATGCATAACTTAATCTTTCTTTTAACAGAAATTGCTTTTCACCTGAAGATGGAAGACCCAGGATTTGATAAATCACCATCTCTATGCAGTACTCCAAAGGAATCTGAGACAGCAGCTCTACAGAGCACTAGTTCAGGGAAACAGGTATAGAAATGTTGGTTTCCATTAATTTGACTGTGTAGTGACAAAAATATTTATGAAACCATTAAGTAGAAGGTGAGGTACTCATCACTGGAAGGCTAAAGATTATAAGACTAAGTTTTAAGTAGCTTATACCTATAACTGCAAGGTTCTCCAGGTAGGGAATGCTATTGGTATATTTTGCTCTAAATATGAAAGTCTGTTATGAATACAGAATGATGTAGCAATATGCCCAAGATGCTATGTAAATGCTAATAAATTGAATAATGTTTTTTTTTTGTTTCCTTTTTCGATATTCTAGTTTCCTCGGATCCATTTTCTATATATGCGCGATGTCTTCTTGTGACTTGTGCTTGCAAATGAGCAAAGAAATTCATTTATCTAACTGTTCTATGTTGCTTTTTCAAGGCTTTACTGTGTTTTTGTCTAGCATTTAGTCTTGCTCTTGCTAAAAATCTTGCCATGGTTAATAGCCTTCTGTTTTGTGGCTTGTGACTTTTTGAGCGGCTTTGCTTGAGTTTCCTATGGAGGTTCATGTTCTTATTTAGTTCTGAATATTGAACTCATTTTGCATAAAGAATTTAATAGACTGTCCTTTCAGTTTGCCTGTTTTCTATAGTGTCTAGCTCTGCATTGATGGTTGTCTTAAGCGATATGTTTCTGCTGTCAGACTGACCATAGCACGTGTTACTAAAAACTAGGCTGATACTAGATAGGTCTAGTTTCTAAGAGTATCTTAAACCATCTCTCTCTTTCATATTCCAGTATTTTTCCACAGGTAAAAATGTTAGATGCCAATTATGAAAATCTGCCTTTTTTGGGAAGAAAATTTGACTTTATGTATGCTTATTAGTGAAGGTGTGTATGTGTTAGGTGAGAGGGGCAACAAGAACAATCTATACCTGCATGACATTTCAGGGAAAGTCAAACAGAATGGAAGAAAATTAAGTTTAAATGTGTCGTATGTCTTCTGCATTAAGATTTGACAAGCAACTTTGCTTTAATAAACATTACAGTACTTGGTCTTTGAAACATTCCTGTATCTTGCAGCTGTGTATGCAAGTACGTTAAAGAAAGAAGGTAACTTCGTTCAAGTTTGTGAAAACTATAGCAATAATTAGGAAGTCTTACTTTACGGTGTCGTTTATATATTCTATGTAAAATAAAAATATATAAATAAAAATGAGATTATTCTGAGAAATTAGGACAATTTTTCTCCTCTTTTTGTTCTTTAATTTCCTTTAGCCAATGAGTGCAGCCTTGAGGGAGCGATTAAGGAAAACAAGACGTTCCTTTAATGCTAGTCTTACAGTGGCAAAACGTCTCAAAATAGACACTGAAGAAAAAGACTGTGCTAATTCTGACAAAGCTTCTCTATTGAAGAATGCAGACTTTTCCAGGTTACAAGATAGTCCTGAAATCCTGGAAAGAAATAGCCCTACACATGCATGTTTCAAAAGTTCTTTACAGAAAAATCCTCCCTGTGAATCAGCAGAGAACTCTAATGTGCTAAGGACTAATCTTAGTCACCAACAGTCCCTGGAAGAGAAAGCACGGCTGCTGAAGCAAGTGCAAGAGAAAGAAGATCTACTTCGAAGACTCAAACTAGTCAAGATGTACCGATCTAAGGTGAGGGAAAACTCAGAAAAAGTATTTCTAACATTCTTTGAAGTAGAATTGACACTGAAATCCATTTTTTTTTGATTAAAGTAACGATACCAGTTCACATTTGTGTGGTGTATTGTCTCAGTTCAAAATGCTTAATAAAAATAGACGTAGAGTCTTAATAGTATCTGTTATTTGCTGAAATATATTTTTATCTCAATTTCAGAATAACCTGTCTGAACTGCAGGCTTTGATAGTGAAATGGAGAAGTAGTACCCAGCTGATGCTATATGAGCTACAGTCAGCCTTCTCTGCAGATGGCAAGAAAGTCAGTCTCACTCAGCTGATAGATAATTTTGGATTAGAAGACAAATTACTACACTACAGCAGAACAGAAGAAGACTTTGTAGATACATAATCTACAAGTGCAAAACTTTAAATTACAGATGTGTATAACTGGAAAAGACTGAATATAAACTTTGTGTAAAGAAGTGTTACACCAACTGGCAAATGTTATGCTTTGGGAATTTTTCTTATGAGGCATTCATGAACCTATGTATGTAGGTTTGGTAGGCACTCTAGAAGGCATTATTTTGTACAAAAGACTTATACCACCTGTTTTGCAAAACCTGGCTTGAACTCGATCAGTAACAGTAAATAGTTCTCTTTTAAAAAAAATCAAGTAATATTTTTAATGGGTAGTCTTTTATTATCCTGAAATAATGAACTCTGTCATTCCTGTTGATATTCAGATGGGGAAGTGTTCAGTTTTTGTTCATAGATAAATCCACTTATTACAAATTTCTTGCTGCTGCCAGTCAGTTAATTGTACATTTTGTGAGTTAAGTAAGGATAAATCAGTTGCATATATTTAATGCTCTGAAGTTTCAGTGAGTTATTCTCCTAGCTTTAGTGAGGGAAATATGCCCAAATGCAGTAATTTTTAGTCACTGGTCTAGATGTCTGTCTCTTGGGAAACTGCCTCTAAAGCATTCCACTGCAGTCTGAAATAATGGGAGAGAAGGGAACATGTATGCAAGTATGCAGGAAAAACAGGCCTAATCTAATGGAACGACTTTAGTTACGTGTCATTTACTTCTCTGTGGTAAAGCTGAGAAAAGCTTTAGTGTTTCATTTATCATGCACCTTGAAATGTCTTTTTAATTTTGTCTTAATTTGAAATTGCTTATTTTCTGATTTTTGTGTATGCATATATTGTAGTGACTTCTGCCAGCTTTTCTTATTTATCGAGTGTAACAGTTCATAAACATCCAAATGTCCTACAGATCTGAGTATTGTTTTAAACAGATTCCTCACTGGGTGTACCTTAGCTTTGGGGGGGTTTATGTGGCATAAGGAAGTCATTTCGTATTTCTAAAGGAAAATAGCAAGATTCCCATATCATTTTATAGTTCTGTGGTTCAGTGGACTTAAATTTGAGGCCGCTCTTTAGGAATAGAGATTGTTACTGCCTGCTGGGATTTAATGAACAAAAGTAGTTTTGGACCTTTTTTTTTCTAACAAGTGTAAAATTTTACTATGGCATAAAATAATTTCAAGTGTGAGGAAAAGGGAGCAGATGAAGGAAATTAACAGAAGGCTAAAATCTACTTGAAGACATGCACTTCAAGGGCTTAACATGAAGAAACTTTGCATTTAAAGCAAGTCTGGAAGAATGGTTGGGTCTTTGTTTAGTGTAGCTGCATGGCACTGACAGAATCCTACATCTTGCCCATTAAAGCACCTGTGAGTTGTGGACAGGGGAGAAGCATGGTTTGCAAAAGAAGCATTGAGAGTATTTTCCTATTCTTGTAGGTCTTGATTTGTTTAATGTATGGTTGGCAGTAGTTGTGACACAAAATACACAGTCTAAACTCAAGAAGCAGCTAAAATAAGATCTTTCCCACTCCCCCCTCTATTTTTTTTATCCTTGTGTATGATGAATCTAAGATGCCCACCATGTTGTTATCTAAGTATTTCAAGACAACATTTTTTTGCAAGGCTATTATAACTGAGTTCCTCTCAATATTTTTTAAATGAAGGTTTTAATTCAATTAAATTCACATCAAAAAACACAGACATTTTAGGGTGTGCAAATATAACTCTTGCCTTTCTTGCAATAGTTTAACATGAAAATCTCCTAGAATTGCATATTGTAGATTACTGCGTATACAAATATATCTTCTACCATTCGGATATTTCTTTTACTATTTATTTTCTATAATGAGCTAATAAGTATGTAGTGTTTTGATTCTATAACCATTTCACAAACAGAAATATAAACGTAGAAAAGACTGGGCATCAATATACAAAAAGGACATATATGCATCTCGCAGTGAAATACTTTTCTAAAGAAATTACTAAAGAAAACTTTTGCTGGAAGAAAAATTTACCAGCAAGCTTTTGTCCAAACTTTATTCATAGACAAGACCATGGTGTTCCGCATCTGTCAGAATTCTGTTTTTCAAATCATAGGTAATGTTCTTAACTTCCATCTTTCCGTTTCTGCCTGAAGAACTCTAAACTGTTCTTCCTGTTTTTTCACATTATCCCGTAGCTTTTTCTGCCTCAAAATATCTTGGTAACGCTGCTGTGCAATCTCTTCAAATACAAGCTGTGTGTCTGCATAAAACAAAGTATAATGAGTAGCGTGTACTTGTAGGTGAAATATAGTCTGTTTCTTTAGTGGAACTGCTCCGGGTTAATCGAAGCTGTGTAATAAATACATTAAGATCACTTACACAACACAATTTATTTATTGTAGTGAATATCAAAATTTTCAACAAGGCACTCAACATGCTTCCTTGCCTTTTAAAATTCTCTTACTATTGAAAAATATATAGTTTTCCTAATATTGTATCTACTCTTCAGCCTCCTGCTACTTACTCTTTTATCTTGAAACTGTTCTGAGAAAAAATACCCTATTTTGCCCAAAGAAGGTATTAACTCAGTGCTTTGATTTAAATAATTTCAGCAACCTATCAGTTAAATTGGGTTACAAGAGCACCGCTCTTTAGAGTAACAAATGCAGCAATCTCTATGTGAGAAAGGGCCCTGTGAACTGCACCTCTAGCCATCAATATACATTCCTTGCCCCGGAGCTGATGCTGAGGGCTTTGCTGTGACTCACCAGCTGCCTTGAAGATGTGCTCCCTTTCTGAGACAGATACAAGCATTTCTTGCAGCTCCAGGCTGAGCTTGTAGTTTGCTTGCTCCTTTAAGCTGATGCCCTTTTCCAGCTCTTTAATTATTTTCTGACAGTTCTTCACATTCTTCTGGTGCAGCTGTTCATTTCCAAATAAATAAAGCAAATGTATGTGATATGAAAGGTGCTCTGACAAACATCAATGTAAACCTATCATCTTCCACACCACATTATAGTTCAATTAATTTTTATAGGTTTTTGTTTTGTTTGCTTTTGTCGTATACCACCCTTTACATATTTTATTCTAGTATGTTTAATGGTATTTAAATATAAGTAGGTGAGAAGAAGGAGCAAAGATTTATGGGTCAAGGAGAGGTATATATTAAAAGTAAGACTTAAAGGGAAAAGTGGGGAAACAAAGTGAATGCGATCCATGAGGTGAGAACACTCTTTTGGCTCCTAGGCACTAAAGGCCCTTGTGATTTTTAGTGAAGCTGGCTGGATATATATATTTATGTGTGTGCTGCTGTGCCTATTCTGCAAGCAGCCCTTGAATTAGTTGAAGAGTTGGTTTGACTGCATCAGTTGCCATTACACCTTATAAACATCTTTTGCTATGAAAGGAGAGGAAATTAAGCTAAGTATGTGGTGGTTCGTTTGGGTTTTACCTCATCCCTGACACTGAGAGTCTGCTCCATCATTGAAACCTGGTGGCTGACGCGGCTGTCATAGTTCGGCACAGTCAGGAACTGAAGAATTAAAAGAATCCAGGTTAAGCCTGTTTGATTTCAACAATTTTGCTCTTCTGTGAAGGCAATCATATTACATGAAACTCGGAAAATGGGAATTCTACACAGCAGAAGGCATTAATAGATAGGCCAAGAGTTAGCGATAATATTGCTCTTGCTTATACCTGAACATCTTAACTTTGCTACTGAGCAACGTCAAGAGCAAAGCTTATGTTTGAAAACTGAATTGTTGACCTACCAGGCATCAAGTTTTTTTGTAGTTGGAAAGCAATTAAGAGACATAAGCAGTGGTATAAGAATAGGCAGCAAAATTTCTGTAGACAAAAGGCAAAGTAGAAAATAACTCACTAGCTGGTGATCTTTTGAAACCCGTAGTGTTAGAATATCCCGAGCCTTCTGTTTCAGATCTTCTATCTGCATTTTCATTTTCTTGTGTTCCCATTCCAGCTGAAATATCCCTTTAGAGAAGTCTTTACATTCCACCATGCTAGCAATTTTCTTTTCTCCTTCAGCCTGAAGAAAGAGATTAATCTTAATTAACACACTTTATGGATTACAGAATAATTATGTGTAAGTGGACGGGCAAGCCTCCAAAGTCATAATTTTAGTAAGGGAAGTGTGCCATACTGCAGTTCTTTCCAAACTTAGCTCCAGATGGTAATCTTTTGTGGAGTTTTTGTTGCCTTTTAGGCACTGTGCCACATTGCAGCCTTGGGTCATAGGATGAGGAGATGAAGAAAATTACAACTAACCTCTCTCTTTCTCTTATCATCCTATCTTGTTAAAATGCTCAAGCACTTTATCTCCACAAAATATAAACTTGCTCTGTATCAGGTATTCTGAAGTTATTACGGAAGAATTTGTGCAGTAGCAGTAAAAAGCAATTTTGTACAGTTAAAATGCCTAAGAAAATAACCTTTATCAAGACTTTGAAAAACTTAAGTGTATTAAGTATGATGACTGATTCCATATTATATAGAAGGCTGTATATATGTATATATTTAATATTATAAGCTATTGACCACTTGTTTCCTAACATAAGTGTGGTTTTTCCTTGAGGGAACTGTAGGACTGGTACCCAGGATATTTGCATTCTCTATTTACAGCATATGTCTAAGATGACATGTCTAAAAAATGTTGCTGTTTATTGATCTGAATTGTATTGATCAAACATCACGAAAGAGTCTGTACTTCAATCTTTGAATTATGAGAGACATTACAAAATTCTTAGTACAACTGAGGCTACTGGTGTCTGGTAATGAATTGAAACTGGATGTCAAACTGGAGAAAAAGCACTTGAGGGGCAACGCCTTTGTTTAAAGAGCTTAAATTTCCTTCAGATAATGTACATTACCATGATAGTGCAATTCAGTTCTTCAATAACACTCTTATTAATAAGAATGGCATCAGTGAAATCGGGGAGCTCAGTACTTTCCAATTCCACCTGTCCTTGTTTTAGCAAAAATTGGACAGTCAAATTCAACTGAAGCTTCATCTTCTCTTCCCGCAGCCTAAAATGACAGAAACTCAAAAGCAGTTAGTGGTTTTACCACGCTTACATAAATACTTCCACGATCCTCAAAACTGTTATGTTTATTACTGATGTTTTAAGGTGTATGTTCGTGTTGGGTTTTTACTCCTTCAGATTTAGCCCGTGTTCTATTTGTTCCCAAAATGACTTCAAAATTTGCAATTCATTTCTATACATAATGTTCTCAACCACTGGATTCTTGTTTTCTTAAAATGTTGTAGCAGGTGGAAAGTGTCCTTACTGAGCAAATCCTTAGCAATAATTGAAAATAAAATACAGAGAATTCCAAAGCAACACCTCTCATATAATTTCTGCTGAGGTTTGTTGCTGAAGGACAATGAATGTGAAAATTATTGAGTGGACATGAAAAAAAGAAAAATTACAAGTCTGAATAGCTCTGTGAAATCAGGGCTCATGACTGAGCAGCATATTACAACTGAAAGTGATTACTGCAGCTTCTTTAGGCTTTATCTTAGGTCTCCTCTTTGAGAGAATTCTAGCTGTGTGTGGTAGAGCACACAGCTGCTCTCATTCTGTGTGTGACTCGGTTCTATGTTACTGCAGAAATAAAATATAGCTAAACACAGAAAAACAAACAGAATTACCATGTAAGCTCTTGGAAAATGTCTCCTATTTCTGACTTCAATTTCTCATCTTCATCTATTCTCCTCTGGAGAAAGGCTTGCATATCCGCCAGTGTTAGGGCTTTCGACTTCACCTAAGCAACAACAACATCATGTCATTGGAAACTTGTTCAACTTCATGAGTTTGTGAAGGCCTCTTCAAGAACTAAGAGGACAAGATTTTTAGAAGGCAGATGTATATGGAAATAGGCTTCCTGTAGTTCTGAGAGTCCCAGTAAAGCACACAAGACATAAAAGTTAAAATTCTTGCACTCTGCTCAAAAAATCATTTATTCATTTATACATGGTTTATTGACAAGAAGGGGAATCTCATTCCCTTCTGTTTTGATAAGATGTGTCCACATCTCCAATGCGACATAAACATTCCAACAGGCAATTAAAATCAAATACGTTTTTAGGGGGGATAAATAAAATGAAAACAAAATCTGTGAAGCCATGCCAAGGCCCCAGTCATTTTGATCAAATCCTCCCACATGCATATAGTTTCCACTGGAGGAAAATTAGAACTGATTTCCTTTGATTACATTTTTATTATTTTGACGTGAACAAAAAGTGAACAGTAGTTACATAGGCTCAAATGCAGATTATGTATGCTGTGCTGCTATTTTATCATATTTGAACCCCACAGAAGCTTAAGATCTGAAAATATCAAAAAGGGTAGTGGCAAAATAAAGCATTTTACGTACGAGTTGCTCACTCTCCACTTTGTTTCGTCTAGCCAGACAAAAGCGATCCCATAAAGATGGATCTAAGCCATTAGGCATATATTCGGGTTTATCCAATTCATCCATGGCTTTCATTAAAAGATTAAGTCCTTCTTGGTAATCTTCAGCAGAGCCTGAATGATCCCCATATGGGCTAGCCGTGTCAAGGAGTATTTTCACCTTCTGGATCCTAAAGTACATAGTATACACAATATTTACATTTATCTTTATTTTCTCTCACATAAAATAAGTTAATGTAGAACTAACAACATTTCATATTCTCAAACTTTTGCAAAGAGCAACTAGGCAAGACTACAGACTTTTTAAAAATAAAAATCAAGTTTTTTAGAACTGTTCATTATTTAGATTGCATTTAAAATTAATTGTTCAGGGTGAATGAGGAAATGTCAGTGATCAAATTAAGTATATAGTGGAAATCATGAACTATTGTCAACCATCTACATAAAAAGTAGGGAAGCAGTCAGTCTATGGATTCTGAAGATGTTTTAGATAACTGAAATAAAGTGTTCTCATTCTTGAAACACAAAAACTGTTGTATTTTAACAGATGGAATCAGATTGGGTCTTACCTTGGTCGACGTCTGTAAAGTTTGAAAAGTTTATCAAGGAGGTATGCGGGAATGTCAGCAAAATCCTTTCTAAAATCAGATTCCAAAATCTAGGAGGGAAACAGACATCTTCCTTGTCATTACAATGTTGTGATAAAAAAAAAAAAGAAAAAATCCTTCCCATCCTCCCCTCACAATATGATACTTCCAAACTTTCCATTCAGGGAATCTTGGCTATTTCATATATTCTTGCTCTCAGACACGACAGTTTACACTGTCATTTTTTTTCTTTAATGCCAAGGAAGACTCAAGGCAGAGCACAAAACTACAGGATTAAATGCAGAAGTTTTGTCACGCTAAAATTCTCTGTGAAGAAGTCCTCCTGGCTCCCAAGTGATTATGAAAGCTTATGTGCACATGCTGACCTTTGCTGTTTAACTTCAGTGATCGGCAAATTAATCAGATCCCATTCCCATCCTTAAAATAACCTATGTTCTTCTAATAATTGAGATGCAGCATGGTCTTTATATATATGAATTTGCTTGGATGTGTCTAGAGTCTCACCTTATCTTCAGCAATTGCATTTTCATAGGTGTCTATATAAGCATCGATTTTCCTGTTTGTACACTGGATTGTTTTTGTAGACTTTACCTGTAGCAAAAAAAGAGGGGATTTCAAGAATAAAATTCAGTCAGTAGAAGCCCTTAATGGCTATTTGCATACACCAATGAAGCCAACAATCTCTTAGTTCTTTTGAGCTATATATACTAACTATTCAATTCCTTCTCTGGGGGTATTTCCTGTGGGTACTGCTTAAAGGTGAGCAGGTATAAAATTCAAGTATTCCTTCTGCTTAAGAAAGTATTTGATAGCATCTTAGACCAATTTTTCTGTGTTTCTTTCTGAATTTTCAGTATAAGGGCCTATGTTCATACTTGTTTTCACTTGCATAGAGATTTCCTTTTTCCTTTCAGGTCATCAAAGGTGAATCAAAATCCTCAAATTATGTTCAGCAAAAGGTTCTCCATTCTGGAATGCAGTTTCCCTGTTGGCATGACATAAACCTGATACACACCAGCATACTAAGCTCATCTGCTTTATCCAGGCTATTAATTGATTGTACTCTGCTGGGAAGACAAGTTTTGAAAGTTTGCATGGACCAAAGATATACCAATGAGGACATTAGTAAAGACTTTAAAAACTGTGTATTTCAAAAATGCAAGCTGATAACTCACTTTCTCTTTCCGCTTCTTCTTAAGGAAATGATGAAGTTCAGCTTCTCTGGTGTCCAACTCTTCTTCCAACAGCAAAGAATAAAGGATATTGATTATTTTGAGTTCTTCCTGTGGGAGGAAAAAAAAAATAACAAACATTCCTGTGGCATAGAGATAGATATTAAATATTAGAGTTCTCTACCATACCTGATAGATGACCATCTCTGAATTCACTTTCCTTTCAAAGAGTTTGCACATAGTCTCATCAAAACTTTGTGTTGTTTCCTGGATGGAAGCTTGAAGTTTCTTCAATTCAGCTTCCAGTGCCTGGAGAAGGCAAGGACAAGAGAGCTATTACTATTACATCTGGAGGAACAAACAAGCTATACGAGTATATGAGTGTAGCGTGGGATGCTGGAGATGGCCGTGTGGAATTGCAAGTGAAGATTTTATAGTTGTGCCCCACTCCAGAGCCATGCAATATTCATTAATATTGTAGACGCAAATACAAGGGTATAGAACCTACATTGTTTACAGAATTAGGTGAAACCACTTCCCCTTCAGAAGCCAAATAGAATCTCATAATCTCTGCTGTGCAATAAATTTTGTGTTGGATTGGTTTGACCAGTCAGAGGGTCATATTAACCAAAAGTCTTGAAGAACAGGTAGTTCAAATTACACTACTTGCTTTTTAAATTACCAGAATCTGGCTATTAGACCTAAATGCATTTTTTGAAATCAATATTTAAGGCAATCCTTCTCTAATTGTTTTTATTTTCAAGGAGATTAAAGAGAATGTTTTTATCCCCCAACTTTGATTCAAACTAAGGAGTCTAACTAATCTATGCACTTTTATTGAAAGACCAGTTTCTCTTCCTATTAACTGAACAGCCCATTACCTTCCTATTACCACTGAACACCTATGGCAGAAACATGAAGATCCCAAGTTTTGTACAATCAAAACAACATTCTGGAAGACATTATTTTGATGACTGTGATAAAAAAGAAAGCAGGATCCACATTTCTTTAAATCTGTCCTAAAAATGGTGAGGATTGTCCCTGAGAGTGAAACTATTGATTTCCACTATCAAGGAGCTACTCCACTGTAAAATGATCACAGATAAATTTGTAAGAGAAAAATCCTTTAGCCAAAAGATCCCAACAAATACTTGTTTGGAAGAAGGATATTGCCAGGCTACCAAGTTGTGTTGATCAAATTACCACTTAGAAGAATAACCATTGTGGTATTAAATGTGTATAGCATCAGCAATTCTGGGAATGGAACCTAAAAAAAAACATTTTAGGAATAGTGAGACATTTATGAAGGAAAGTAATCTATTGTCAGATGTCACAAGGTTTGGCACATACTAATGTTTGCTGCTTTTTCTACTGTTTAAGCTAAGACTTACATACTAATATACTATTCCATGTGAACTGTGTTCTTTATTTTTTCTTTGCTTGTTCTATTTATTGGCATTTATTTTTATAATTAGATCCTGAGCAAGACTCAAAGCTTTGGCCATGCAAAGAGTGATGAAAAACACTCCTCTTTTTAACTTACTCTTTTATGCTTTTCTCTTTCTTCATTCAGTTCCTGGACTTTTTTCTCATATTCTCTGAATATTTTCTTTTCTTCTTCATTCCAAACAGATTCAGATTTGGATATAAAAGAAGGTGGAGGAATATCCTGGGGATATTAAAGAAGAATATGTTTCAAAAACAATATTAAATCTCTGTCACTATGCTAACAAACTACAGCGTGCATAAAATTTAATGAAAGGCATCTCTTAGTTGTAGGTAAGGTAGATGCCTTAAGTCTAAGGAATGTGTATATCCTATTTCTCTGGTTTGCTCCTTGCGCCAATACTTTAGATATAAATACAATCAAATTCTTTTTCACTTACAGGAATTCACTAAATTTACTAGTGGATCTTGTAAAATGTAAAAGTATTATTTTATTCGTTTAGTTAAATGAAACACAGTACTTTTCTGTAAGATAATAGCTGAGTCATAAACCTCTCCTTTCGCAAAATAGTCATAGAGGTAATACTAAATTAGGTGCCTAAATTATTCCACTATGATAGATGTCGTGATAGATAGATGTTGATGAGTCCTTAACCTTAGTTGTAAATATTTTCTGTTTTTCATTCACATTTCCCTAAAAACACTACAAGGTCCCCAAATGATATGGCAGAAACACAGCTCACAATTTTCAGGATGTCTTCCTTTTTGACTTCCAGCACTCCACCCATCATGTCCTTAAGAGCACGCAGCCTTTCATTGTCCTAGGAAAGACAACAAAAAACACTGTAGGATGCAAAAGGAAGTGTAGTAATTAGAAGTGAGGAATGATAAAGGAGCAGTTCATTTCTAGATCACCAGGAACTCTGCTGTCTGACACCAGTAATTTAATGCTCTTTGGTGATGCATATGAAATAAGGTAAAAGTTTGAGAGATTTTTTTCTGATAGACAGAAGCTCATATACCAAATAACTTACTACCAATGACATTCTGGCAGTTTTGAAAGGAATAGATGGGCAGAGACTAGTCTTGCCCACTTGGTAGGTTAGGGTGAAGGAAGCTAAAGCATAGCTGCCTTGTTGTGCATCATTTTGAGGGTTAGAGCTTTCACAGATACAGAGTTTTTAAAGCCAGAAGGGAACATTTTATCATCTATGATCTGTGACAAACAGAGGTCAAAGAAACTCTTTCAACAAACAAATATCAAGCTCAAAATGTTTGACCAAGCAGCAGCATGTGCTCAGAAATATATCTAGTCCCTAGTGACAATATAGTGTTTTTAATCGGCATTGTGTGTTTTTAAAAATTGCTTGCCTACCCTAAATATTTTTCCCCCAGCTAATCTATCATTCTGACTGCAAAGTGTAATGAAATAGGCACACTTACGTTCATCATCATGACTTAAAATCATTATTACTTAAAATCATTACAGTTTTTCTACAATATTACTACTTTACTGTAATATTCCTGTACAACATTAATTACACAAAGCCACAGCAGTGACAATGGCCTGTTCAGTGGAAAGGATACTATTCTAAGTACCAGCGCAGCAAGTCGTCTTTCCATTTCAAGCTTAGCCAGCATCTCTGCTTTTGCTCTCTCCTGCGGAGTCAAGTACTTTTCAACTTTAATCTGAAGGGAGAAAATGGGGCTCATGTCAGGTTTCTTTTCTTCAAACATGTTCACACAGGGTCTGAGAACGTTTGGAAAAGCAATGTAATATAAACTGCTTTTTTTTTTCTTTCTCTGGTCTTTGGTAATCTTCAAGAACACTGTTCTTTAGAACATCTCCAAAAGCTATTCAGAAATGCTAAAATAGTAACTTCTTATATTTTTTTTTCTGGTATTAGTTATGTTTTGTGCATTATATCTGTAGGTTTTCTGGTAGTAGAATATGGACTGGTAGGTGAGAGGACAAAATAGGGTAGAGAGAGACTAAAAGAGCAGATAAGCTCAATAAGATATTTTGTATCAGAATATCATGTTTATTTTTAGATTATCAATAGAATTTAGAAGTACAATACTAAGTATGCTTTGATACCTAAATAGCTGGTTTCAAAGTGTTACTCAAAGAATGAATAAATAAGTAAACTCTCATCTATAGAAGTGATCCCCTCCTAGACTGGTTTGAACTGTTTTATCAGGGATGAGGTAATTTCTACCTAGTCTATGAACAACTACAAACTTCTAACATCTATGAATTCAGTTTTATACAGATTTCTTTTATTTAGGCTTTCTGCCTAAAAAGAAAAGGGAAGTAAAAGAGCCAGACATGATTTTAAGTGCACAGACACATCTGTTTTAAGGCTTTTCATGACTCACACAATGACTTGAAATGAGGAGAATCAGAGAACTATCTTTGTGTGGGTGAAAGAGAAGGATTTGTTTTTCAGATACCTCTGAATCCTGAACAGTGAGTGCATGCTCTGGTACTTCATCATCTGTAAGAGCTGGTTCCCAGACTTCCTCTTGGAGGTCAAGTTGTGCCAAGATTTCTCGGATCCTCAGGTTTCTTTCCTTCACTCGTGCTATCTCATGCTCCTTCTGTTGTACAGCTATGTCAAATTCCTTATTAAAAGCAGTTTTCACTTTGTAAATGATGTCCTGAAATACCATAAGAGGAAAGAGATCACATCTATCCATCCATCCATGATACCACTCCTTAACTCATGAGGAGAAAAATTGACTTGTTTCATCCATTCTTTCTTTTAATTTCCTAGAAATTCCTTTCCCTTTTCTCCTACCTATTTGCCACTTGACAAAGACATTCTGAAAAAGTCACAGTGGTTCCAAAAGTAGATAAAAATTAGGCTGCCTTTCATTGTTCTTTTTTTTTTTTCAGGCTTTGCCTAAAGGAAGAAGGTGCTCCAAAGCAAAAACAAATACCTGTAACTTTTAATTCTAGAAATCACAAAACACAGATGCAAAGGAGGCAGAGTTAAGGACTTTCTTTCCTGATTTTTTTGAGTGCTGCCATCTACAGCTTTGATATGCTTTTCAGGTGATTTCTGTCTGACAATGTATTAGTACTGTGTGCCGGTGAATTAATAAACACTAGAAACTAACTGAAAAGAACTAAGAGTTTACCGTGAGCTTAAAAAAAACCCATGTATTCTTAGTGGACAAATTCTTTTTTCAGTTTAAGTGATCTCATCAAAGAGAAGCAGACTGCTAAGAGAAAAAAATGTGTTTCTCCTGGGGACACCATGTGTCTATTTCCTAAAATGAAACATCATTAAGATTTCAGTTCTACTATTGAAGTTTACATTTTTAAATGATTACCTATTTGTCAAGCAGTGTGCTTACTGACAGTTAGCCAGGAACACAAAGCTCAGGAAAAAAAAAATAATATGCATCTTTGAAGTCCCACAGAAGAAACATCTTGTTGCATCTGAGCTTACATCTTTTACAGGGTAAGTGCTGCTTGGGTTTCTTCCCCATCTACTTCAAAAAACAGTATATCTTATGATTTTATCTATTACCCATATGTAATAATTGAACTCTATTACCATTTTCAGCCTTAAAAGAGCCCTGAGAAGGCAATATTTATAGCAGTTTAATCAGCTCCACCCTTGGAGATCACCATCACAAGAAGCTTATAACATGTTTACTACTTAAATGTTGCCAGTGTAAGAGAAGTAAGAGAGTCTGATGGTAATGAATAATAACTAACAGAAACACTGAAGGCTGTAAATGAAGTTATGGTAAGGCTGGAGAGAAAGGAAATAGTACAAGGCATCTCCACAGAGCATGCAGAGATACACAAGCTAGTTTTCTGTACATAAGACTCCTAAACTGCAGCACCAGTGGGCAAATACAGGTATCCTCAAACTGGGTAACCACAAGGCCTCTTACATCTGGAAAAAACATGTGATAAAAATGTTTTCTCCCAGACCGGCCGGTCCACATGCTGCTATACTGTCCCAAGTGCTTTTAACAGCTTTAATCTCAGTAACTCAGGTACCTATGCAATACCCCACTGTGTGGGATCAGTAGGCCAAGAATTTGAAAGTGTCTGTGAATAGTGCAAGAACCAACAGATATGGCAGTGCCACTGCAGTAACAGAAATTCAAGAAGGGGTCACCTGTAATAATATTATTTGATTGACTTTCTGCTCCCTGCTGTGCAAGTCCAACTGGTGGTATAAAACAGAGATGTCTGCACCATACTGAGAGCTCAGACTTCCAACCAAGCTGTAAGATGCGGTATTATCAGCCACTACTTCTTCTTCCATCTCTTCTTCCTCCTTAGGTAATTCTGTCTCAGGCTTGATCTCAACAATTTCCTTTCGAATCTAAAAATCACAAACACGGTAGCAGTGTTAATTATATAAATGACCCAGCATCGTATGAATAAAACAGCCTCAAAGGGTTTCTACTGATAAGATTCCTTGAAGGCATCAGTTCTATAGGTTAAACGCTCCAGTTAAGGCTTGTTCAAAAGCCTTAACTTGGCTTGATTTTGTGATCAAAATAATAAAAGTAAAAATGAACATATCTAGAGTCCAGCATCAGGCTCCCCCAGCACAAAATAGGTACAGCCATATTACAGCAATCCAGGGAAAGGCCACTAAAATGATTAAGGGTTTGCAGCATCTGACATGCAGGAAAGGCTCAGAGAGCTGTGATTTTTTAGCCTCTAGAAGAGAAGGCTCAGGGGCTTCTTATCAATGTTAATAAATGCCTGATGGGGAAAGGGGAGTAAAGAAGATGGAACCAGACTTTTCTCCATGGTGCTCAGTGAAAAAACAAAAGGTATTAGGTACAAATTGAAGTAGGGGAAATCTAACTTAAATGTAAGAAAAGAAACTTTACTATGAGGTTGAATTAACACTGGAACAGGTTGCTCAGAGAAGTTGTTCAGTCTTCATCCTGAGCAATCAGCTCTACCTGACCCTGCTTTAGGCAGGGGGCTGGACTAGACAATCTCCAGAAGCTCCTTTCAACCTCAGTTATTCCGAGTATCTCTGCTGAGTACAAACACAATGTTTCATCTTCATCTATTTATGTGGACAACTTCTACAGCAGGAAACTGCAGCTAAGATGGGTTTCTCTAAAGCATAGCTAAGGTGTCTTTTCAGAATATCCTGGTCTGAACTGCCTTTCTGCCGTATTTCAAAGAGATTTTACCTTAAGATCAACTGCCTCGATCTTCTTTAACTGGAGAATTTTCTCCAAAGTTTCTAGCTCTTCTTTGCTACGTTCCTTCAAAGGATAATTCTTCACTTCACAGGCTATATGAAAACACTTTTGAGATGAAAAAAAAAAAAGAAACAGAGCAAAAAGTTCTTCATAAAACATCTATAAATTCTTTTGTTCAATATTTGAAGGCTAAAAAGTTATAATGACTTCTTGCTAAAATTTGGAATAAAATTGAGGAATGATCAATACAGGCAATATTGTAAAAAAAGATATAGTAAAAATATAGCAGTAAGGCAAAAAACATTTGCCTTTTTGGAACAGAACGTAGTTGCTTAAAAATGGCTTTTGGCTTTTTTTCTTTTTATATATAATCTATGGATATTACCTCTTTATCCAGGGAATTTTATGAGAATTAGATTTTTGTAAAACGATTTGTCTTTTGCCACCCTTGAGATAATCCAATGTCATCAGTTTGTCTGATGTCCATCTATTTAAGATAGACAAAACTATGAATAAATTTTGCCTTTATTTTCTGTGTAGCAGGAATCAAACATACTGCATGAAAAGATGAAAAACAATATTTATAACACTACATTAAGATATTCTCTGGAAACATGGAATTAAGGAATAGCTTGTTTGCCTGTCAACACTCTGGCTTAGAAGGCAGAGTTATCAAAACTCAAACAAAATGAACAACATGAAAGATTTGCATGAGCCTGGGAAGCAAATGAGAAATATGTTATGCTTCTATTTATTTTCTCACTATACCTTAATAAACTACTACAAAAAAATAGATAGAAAGCAGAGGTTACCTTAACTGCCCGTCCTTTTACACACATGGAATCCCAGCACTCCCGTTTGATAACATCCTGCAAGTAGCAGTTGGCTAAATTCTCCATATCAATC